TCGTTGAGTGAAAGCCACTGGAAGGCTGTAACTACACAGTGCAGAAATCAGGATGGACAGCGTGAGAATGCTGAGCCTGAGAGCTTGTAAGAAAAGTTGTTATAAATGATTGCAAATCTGCTTGTTAGCAAATAGTGCAGCGTGCTTTGCTGAATGAAACAGAAGAGGATGACAGTGTCCTCGTGGCAATGAACAGCCTTTCAATTCTGCTTGAGTTTATTGCAAACTGATTAGTTTACATCAAAATAAGCCTTCAACTGAAGAACGATACTCATGCAGGGGTTTGCAATAATTTAAATGTTTTGTTCCTCTTCCTTCTCCCTTTGAAAGCAACATCTCACATGCAGCTGATGTGAAGCAGTTCTGAATTTCTACTTTAAGATCCTTAAGCACACTTTTCTGCAACAGGTAGAAGAGTTCTCCTTCACCTGGACTGTTTCTATGTACATCTTTCTGGAGCCCTTCTCTCTATGGGACACCACAGAGCACACCTAAAACTCAGCAGCAGTCTGCAGATAGGGCAGCACACAGCAAGTTGAAACAAATATGACATCTGCTCTAATTTGACGTGAAGTACCACAATCAGCAGTGCAACTCCTTTGATCATAGGCTGTATTTCAAGACTACTTTGTGGAAGATATATGAAGTTGAACATGAAGCCAATACCTGATGGCCAGATGCATCAGAAGCGATCACAAATCAAACCATTAGTAAGAAAATCTTCTTCTGCAGCACCCTCTCTTCCTCCCTGATCCTTTGCATTTCTGCTCACATAAATCACAACTGTAGCTGGCAGGCACTGGTTTACATTTGAAAAATTACTGCCATTCCTAAGACCTGACGCAGCTGATTGTAACTCAACCACCACATGGTATTTCAACAGAGTAAATACTTCTCCGCAGCAAAAGCAGCCCTATGTGCTGCTCCTTGCAGCAGGGAGAAATATAATGAGTTTAAAAGGTCACCGATAACTACTAGAGGTAATTACCTGTCATTTTACCCAAAAAAATCTATTTGATGCCCCCCTAAATAAAAGATGATAGATTGCAAATGAAAGGCTGCTATTTGTGCCTGTAACAGGTAGTTTCTATTGGTAACATGGCTAAGGTATTTTAGTCATAGCAAACTATGGCTTCTTTTGGAACTGGGTCAAAACAAGCCATCCTCTCTCATAGAGCCACCCATGAGTGCAGAGTTGAAATGCAACACAGAAACCCCTGCAATGGGATTGAAGAGGCAGAGAAAGCTTGGGAAATAAAGCTGCTCCAGCATTCATCAGTCTTTTTCTTGCCTTTAAAATGCACCAGATGAACCCAAATACTTTCTGCAGAGCTGCAGAACTGCTTTGTTCCATCAGCTTCCCTCCAACCCAACATTTTCTAAATAAAACATTATGATTTAGCTAAGAGTCTAAAGATTACAAAAACACACTGAATTCATTGATACACCTCTATTGCAAAACCAGAGTGAATACACGTTTTAATAGACAGCCACACCATTGTATGTGAGTGCAAGCCACCAACCTCACCCAAACACAACCATTCTGGACCTCAGGTCTAAAGCTTTTCCAACAAATTCCAGTTGGTTTCTCACTCTGGAAGACCAGACTTGTGGAACAGCTGAAGAACAGATGCACACTCAAACCAACACAGAACTGTACACAGCACTTCTCATCCTGTTTGTTCACAAAGGTGACATGGAAAGCATGCGTACCTGATGCATTGTTACAGTCATCTGGAAACTGTTTGGCTAGAAACTCAGCACTTTTTCTTTCTGAATTGGTTTTGAACTGGCTCAGTTCCCTGTGCTGGCTTACACCAGCACTGCTCCTTTTCTTCAGACTGTTACTGCATGAGGTAGGAATCAGAAAAAGGGGTGCAATGGCTTCTTCTGATAGCAGCCTGGATTTATACTGGAATAGAACAGTTAATGATTCCACAGACTTCAAACTCGCTCATATTTGGTGCTGAAGCCATTAATACATTTTTTTGTCCAGTCCTCAAAGAACACTTTCATGTTAAGAACAGATGATAACTGAAGAAAGAATTGCTTTTACAACTGAAGTGCAGTACTTAAGCTGAAATTCATACAAGCCCGTGTTACAGCCAGCAGGAAAAAACAATTACGTTGTGGATTCCCTAAGTTAATCATTTTAAAACAAACAGAAAACAGAAGCTGAAAACTGGAGTGTCATTCCGATATTGTTTCCTGCAACACAAAAAGTTTGCACAAAAGGCACTTTGCAATGACAACTGTTTTAAAGAAGCCCCACTCCACAAACAGGCTACTTCATTTTGTTTGTAGCAGACCATCCAACTTCAGCATCACACACACATTGCAAGGAAGCTCAATGAAATCCCAGAAACCCCACTGCTTGAAGAAGCATAATGCTGCCCATCAGACCATCAGCAGCATCTTCATCCCCTTACAAAGCTGAAGCTCCCAAACCCAGATCTGTTACTGGGTTGAAAATTCATTGAGAGTGAGGAGCTGCGAGTCATTTGCATCTCATGTATGTTTCCCTCAGGATGCTTTAATTTCCAATTTTGATGTTTTCCAATCTCTCTGCTACCTGCAGTTTAAAACTCAGTCCATACACCATCTGTATTAATGATACTAAAGGCAGCAGTCTCTGGGCTTAACCAACTGAGAACAAAACTCCTGGAGGGCAGCAAATCCATCTGAACCCACAAGTAACAGGTCTGTAGACTGATCCAGATGATCAACTTTTCTGAACTGCAAAAATTAGGCACATGGCACTGAATCACACGTTAACTTCTTGGAATTTCTTTGTGTTTTGGTATGATTTACAGGGTTGTGTTTTAAAAAATGCAAGCAGTTCTGTATTAGTTTCCAAAGCGCAGCTTGGTAACAATCACAGCATGTGTCTGCTGTTTCTAAAATCAGTGAACTTTCAGTATTTATACTTTACAGCCATCAACCCTCCCCTAACAGTGAATGGAAGTTCTTACCCTCACAAGAAGCTCACAGTTTCCTTTCAATCCACATCAGCCTCTTGAAACTGAGTTATCAGGAGAAAAAGCTTAAAGCTCCCTATGTTTTCCAGACAGAAATGGACCTTTTCCATCTCATGGGATCACAGAACCATAGAATGGCCTCGTTTGAAAAGGACCACAATGATCATCTGGTTCCAACCCCCTGCTATGTGCAGGGTCACCAACCACCAGACCAGGCTGCTCAGAGCCACATCCAGCCTGGCCTTGAATGCCTCCAGGGATGGGGCATCCACAGCCTCCTTAAAGACCCTACAAAACAGCCATATACACCCCTATGTGATGAGCAGGTCCTACTATCCATCTATGATGAGCAGGCCCTACTGTTATTTCTGGCAGTCAAATTAAGCACAGAAGCAAAGAGGATTGGCATCTGGGTGCAACGCTTCAGCACAGCACAGGGCACAACCGTAGATGGGAAAGTGACAAGTCTGAGAATACCAAATTGACAGAATTAAGATTCATTAACACCACGTATCAGGCACCGCCTGACAAAGTTTGTCGCTGCATAAATAATTCTGCTTGCTGCCTGTGGGTTAACCCTATCGGCTGTGTTATGAAATAAAGGCAATGGACTCCATGCCAGCTGGGTCCATGAACACATCCAGGGACGTAAGGATCAGCTGGCAAACACACAGACCTACACGGAGACTTCCTACCAGCACATCTTATGGTTGGTAACATAAGGGAAGAGGTAGTTTGTTCTCCACCCTGCTTACTCACCAGCCAATGCCCTTTGTGGAGAGGAGCTTTCATAATCAGCAGTTGGCTCAGACCAACAACACAAAAAAATCACCCTGGAAGCAAGAAGAAATGTTGACGAGAGGAGTGCCTCTGATTCATCCTTCTGCCCAAGGCCATTCTTCAGGTAGAAGAGCCTCAGAAAGGTACATTTTAAAAACAACAACAACAACAAACATATAAAACACATCTAGCTCATCCATTCAGATTACAATTCTATAGTTTGCTTGACTACAATACCAACATTTTTTAACCCTGACGTCCAGAGTAACCTCACCAAGTCATACACGTGCTCTCCCACGTACAGACAGGCTGTTCCCTACCCAGAAAGAAACAAAGTTCAGGCTGTAGGATATTCCACACCCTCCCTGTTACCTCGATAAGATTGTGCTGCATGCAGTTCCTCTGAACTTATTTAGCCAAACTGAACCTGCAGTTCTTGTAGAGCCACCTGGAAACAATTCACCTCAAACTCAATGTGCAAACATGCAGGACGGGGTTCTTCTCTCTTTAGCTCACAGACTGAACAACCAGGCTCATAGGATCTGAGGGAACCGACTCTCTGCATGCTTGCAATCAAAAACTCTCCTTGCATCAGTTGTGGAAAGCACGGGGCACAAACGATCGGCCTCTGTTAAACGATCTATAAGAGTTGAAATCGACTATAAGGAATTGCTTCTGTCATTAGTGGTTTCCTGCCTTCTGTTCCGCGCCCAAAGCTTGCAATCGAGCTCAGAACGGTGTGGTTTTCTATTTGTCACGCTCTCACGAAAACGGGAACTTGTCTGTGGGTTTGGTTCCTCCTAAGGAAAACGGAGCCAGCACTCAGACACCCCCCGTGAACCCCACGAGGAGGGCAGGGCAGCAGGCACAAGGTGTCATCCCAGCAAGGATGTTACCGATCCTGACTTACAACCTTAACCTGTCATCGCCGCTTCCACGCGCATCTCCCTTCGGGGAGAGCAGCTCCGTTCGTTGTCTGCCGCTGTAACAGCGCTGCAGAGCCACAATCACAAAGGTCAGCCCTGAGCGCAGCTCGCCGGGCGGCAGCTGAAGGCGCACCGCCGCCTCTACCCGTGCGGGTCCAAAGAGTGCAAGCCCGCAACTTGACAGAGGAGAGGCTGAAATAAACATCCGAAGGAGGAGAAAAGAGAGAGGGGCTGCGACGGGCGGGGGGAGCAAAGCGCCGTGCGGGAGCCGCGACACGGGAGGGGAACGGGGCGGGGGGTCCGGGCTGGCACTCACCGACCCCGTACTTCTCCCGCTTGGTGGGGATCCAGCGCGCCATGCCGGCGGCCGCTTCCCCGACGGCTCGGCTCAGAGCGGCCGTTCGCCCTCCGCCCCTCCGCGCTGCCTCAGCCCGGGCCGCTCCGCCATGCTACGGAACTTCCCACAGCCGCTCTCAAGTTTGCAGCCTCCCCGCTGCGCCGAGCTGAGCAGGGCAGAGCAGAGCCGAGCGGCACGGAGGAGGGGAGAGGCGGGGGGAGGCGGATCGCATCGGCTCTGCTCGCCCCGCCCCGCCCCGCGCTCCGTGCTGATGCTGCGGGGCTCCCAGCCGGGTGTTTGAATATCAAACCCTGAATCAGTAAGGAAAAAAAAAAAAAAGAGGTTGTTTTAAAATAATTCCAAGCATCTGGGGAATAAATAAATAAAAGCGGTCACAGGGCTGTGCTTTGCAAAAAAAAAAAAAAAAAAAAAACACAACAAAACCAACCCCGGTGTTCTTGTTTGAGTTGGCATCTGATGATGTCAGCCTGCACTGAAGCGCGGTGAGCTGGGACGTGATAAAGTGCTTAAAAGTAGTGATAGGGAGAGAGAAGCTGTGTGCCTGCCCGGATCCTGCTGTGCAGGTCTGAGGTTCTGACCTGAACCAGACTGCCCGGCTTCCAAAGCTGCGCTGCCGTCTGTGCTGCGTCTCAGTGCCACCCACTGCTGATACCCTCCATTAAGCAGCACCACTGAGAATCACACCCGTCATATCTAAATGGGGGTGGAGCTGAGAATGTCCCGGTCCTTATGGGGTCCTTACAACCCCATCTCCTTGGGAAGTAATGGGATCTCATCTCTGCCTTTGCAGTATGCCTGTCTCCCATGGCAGGCAGTGAAAACAGTAAGCATTCTGAATACCTGAAAACACAACCTGTTTAATTGCATTGAAGCATGAAAATGCAGGGAGATCAGCTTTTTTCATTACTTTACATTACAAGTCAGAAGCACTGAGGATAGCTCTTGTGCTCAGCTGCTGCACTGCCCTGGGCAGATCACTTCATCTGAGCCCCAGATGCATCCCTTGTGCATCTTCAGAGCAGCTTTCCATACTACAGCCTCTCCCATCTATGCTTCTACTAAATTTAATTTGCCTTCATCTTCACTGGCGCCTCTAAGTGGTAGAGAGATATAAATAACAATTAATTACTAGTAATTTGCACTCTCCGACAAATAACCTTGATCCTTGCCAGCCCAACATAAGTACACTTGATGTCACTACACGCCACAGGACCAGCATACAACATTTTCACAATACCTGCTGATCTGGTCAGGTGCTCAGCCTGTGCCTTTGTTGCATGCACAGCACATTACTCATCCAGCTGTGATGCACTGCAATGTTACCCTCACTAGAAAGACAAACCCTGCTCTGAAGTGACGTGCTCTGCTCCCAAGGGATGCTCACAACAGGACTGACATGCTCCCAGCTATGCTCAGGCGTCTGCCTCTGAGCCACTGAACATCGTAACACTGCAGCTGAGAGGTTGAATGTGGACTCTTGCAATACCTGCACAGCACCTGAAGCTTCCACAGAGAACGTCAGTGGAAGTTGGAACTGGTTAACTAATTTGTTTTTCATAAAAACCCTAATTAAACTCAGCCACCTGTGCATCAGATGCTGTACTGAGATGTACTTGAAGCCCTTGTTCTAACCCATAAAACCCTGTTAGTTGCTCGAGCTGAAGATTCAGCAGTGCCACTGAATGTAGCCCCATAGGGATTCCATGGGGAGCTGAGGGCTGACAGGAATTGCACATTGCTGCCCAGGGCCAGCCCCCTCACCAGCTCAGAGGCACCTAACAACTTCCTAAACTTGGAGGAAGGTACATTGAGATATTTTACAAATCCTTTTATTCTGGAAGATTCACTTGTTCCTTATATAAGGTTAATACTGCAACCACTCCAGACCTTAATACAAAGAGCAATGCAATAATGCTATCAAGGCAATGAAAGGGGTGATGGTTGTTTGAGCCCCTCTGATCTGATACCAGACTGTCTGGATGAGGCTGTTTGCAGTGTGTGGCAGAGCAAGTGAAGCAGAGGAGACTGCTTTTCTTGCATCACCCTGCATTCCTCTCTGTCCAGGGAACTCTCCATCCATCCATCCATCCATCCATCCATCCATCCATCCATCCACCCACCCACCCCTGGAGTGCTGTTTTAGCAATGCCTGAAGTGTTCTTCATGTAAAAGCTTCAGTACTTCAAGCCAAACATTCCTCACACCGTAACATTCAAAGTTAAAATTACTCTCTTTAGAAAGAGGGGAAAAAAATATCTCTTTCCTTGCTGGTAAAGTTTGCTTCCTTTCCTTCTTCCTTATGCTAGGCAATGGCTTTCCATAGCATCACACCAAATAAAACAGCAGCTTGATGAGTGTCTCATAGATGACCAGAGAGGGAGTGTGGAAAGTGGCTGGGTCTGAGGCCAGAACAGCAAAGTGTTAGGAAGACTGTGACATGAGTTTTCAAAAGAAGACCCACATCGTGGCTGCCAAGGCCTTTGGCTGGAGGTTCTCTAATGGAGAGTCTGCCAGCCTAAAAGCTTCATTTTACTGTAAGATTCCTGTTGTTAGAGTTAAGTTGACTGAACTGAGCCAGTATTTTCCAGCCCAGGTAAAGCAAATTCTTGGCAGCAAATGAAAAACAGAGCAAAACACGAAAGACAGACAAGCAGCAACTAGAGCAGCTGGTTGCTTTTTGTTTTTTAACTGGAGATAGTTGAATGATTTGTTAAATACAATGATTTGCAAGTGTTAGGGGCACAAGGAACAGGAAGCTGCAGCTACCACTGAAAGTAGGTTTTGTTGAGGAAAGGCTTTTATTAATCTTATTTTACCAAATATTTTTCTTTTTATCTTTCAGTGCTTATGTGCTGCTTAAGCAGTGATGTTAATGGCAAAGTCTGGACCCTGTTCTCTGCCCCTGACAACAGCAAGACAGATAATTAAATTATCATCAGGTTTTCAGCAGAGATGATCTCTCTGCATATAAATCCCACCTCAAACCCACAAGATTGATGTCATGTTACAGATGAAAACTGGGGGCAATGTGGGTGACCAGGGTTCATAGGCATTCATAGGCACTGAGAATGTTGTATTACTTTCACATTTCATAGTTGCCATTTACCTGACAGCTGAGCATTTCAGAACTTGAAGTTAGAAAGAATCCTGTATCCTACAAACATTTCTAAAGCGCTGCCTAACTGCATCCCTTGCTTTGTACATAATTAGAGATGAAGAAATGTAATTCTAGTGCCCTCCTATGTTCCAAGTAAGAACTTCAATAGCTGAAGAATGTGCTTACCTTCAGTGGATGAATGGAAACGGCAATGGAAAGCTTTTCCTACGGTAACACTTAGAATCCAGGCAGGTGACTGCAAGAGTTCTTATCTTGCTGGGTTCTGTGCATAGATATAAAAAAAAGGTGTTACTTGGATCAAGAAGCTTACACTGTAATTTAAGAGAAAGAAGAGAAGCAGTGGAGAAAATAATAAAACTCTTGTTCAGCACAGTACTAAGTGCATGACCACACAGCAAAAAAACCCTTCTACCACAATTCAAACCCTCCACCTGATGAATGATCGGGTATAGATCAGAAATGAGCCCTTATTTTCCAAACACCAGCAGAAGTCATAACTAAAAAGCATGTGATAGCCATGTATGCAATTAAATATGCAAATACATACACTACAATAGGAGAAGTTTTTACCTATCTGCCTGTACATGTTTTATCATGCAATACTGCTGTTTCGTTTTATCTGAAGATCTTGCAGCCCAGATATATGTATATATAGCTATTTCCTTGCATATTTTGTTACCCAAATAAGGCAAATACTTGTATAACAATACTAGCTTGCATTATCACATTGTCAGCTCATTTTGTTGTTCTGTTAAAGCAACAGTGATATTTCTAAGCAACTTTTCAACAAAACCACTGATTTCACCAACAGTGTTTTTTTCTGGATTGTTCTCTATCAACACAGCTGTGAGAAAGCACAAGCATTCCTTACCTACACTGAGGTTTACAGCTGCTAGTACCCATCCTTTGATTATCACACAGAACTAAGGGACAACAAACTCATATATAAATGCCCTCTCCTATTTAAGAGTAAAGAAAAAGCAAATGACTGTTTATGAATTATTGCAAGATTTGTTCTTCTGCAAATACAGTTTGTTCTGTCTCCCTGCAGTGATGGAAGGAAACACTTCCTTCAGTGGAAAAAAATACATAGCAGCTCTATGCACAGCTCACTGACCTAAGGTCTAATGTGAATGGGTGTTCCCTGTCTCTGTTTTATTTATATACGGCACAGATCACTTCTTAAGGAGGGCATACAGTACTTCTTTGAAGAAGGCAGAGTAGCAAATTCTCTGGGAGATAAAAACTGTCATCTTGCATGATATTTTGGGTTGACAAACAAGGAGAACAGTGGGTAAGCAATGTTTCTGAGAGGTCCAATAAAGAACATGCTATGTAAAGTTATTGCTTTTGTCTAAAAAATCCCAAAAGCAATTACGGAGTTTCCTTTTCCAAAACTGATGCAAGTCTTAGGGACAGATTTGTAAAGATGTTCAGATGCTTAATGACGTGAAAGGTGTCTAGTAGGAATTTGAAAGTACCTCAAATGCTAAATCCTGTGGAGTAAGTTTGGAGTCTTGGAGAGGTGAAGAGGACTTGACTTCTCCTTAGCAGCAGCAGCTGGCATGACTAGCAGCCTCAGCATGGGACAAGTCCAAAGCCACAAAGTTATGCAGTTCCACTGGATTTTCTCCATGTCACCCCTGCATTTCTTCAGTCCTGATGGTGCAGAGCTGTTGATTTTGGTAGTTATGCATTACTGAGCTGGAGTAACACAGCACTGAGTAGCATAATGGTTCATTAGACAGGCTTATCACTTTTTTCTCAGGAGGAATTCCAGATGAAAAGTAATCATCATCTCTGTTTCATGATTTGGTGCGAAAAATTCCAAAGCCATCTGAGTTTTGAAACCTGACTCTTTTTCAATTAGACAGGAATGGGAACTATAACAACCCTTAGGCAGCTCTGGAAAAGTCTGCCTTGATGTATCCCTAGGTCAGTTGAACAGGTTCTGAGTAATCAGTTAGTTGGTGTTTCCATTTTAATAGCTTTGTATTTTTATGTCTGAGTTTATTACAATTTCAAAGCAGTTTCCCTACTCCTCCTCCATCTGTCTCTTATTAAGGATTGAT